TCCTTCGGGAAAGAAGCGTGTTGAGTAAATGACGTCACATCCGGCTAAGAAATCAACATCTCGCTAATTGGCAACTCAGTAATGGCGGCCGAAAAATTAGCATGTTTGCGTTGAAAAAAAAGGCAGAAGGAAATGGAATTGGACGCTGATATTTGGTAATTTTGTTTATCTACTGACATACTTTCTGAATATACAATAAAAAGACAGCACAATTTTCCATCGCAGTGGCACTTTAAGTGCTGAGCTATTTGAATCAATTAGCCAATGACAAACCATGGTTTCTTCATGTGACTTGGAACAAAATGGAGGAATTAATGCAAATGTTTTGTCATTTATGTTGTTGTTGAGTAGTTTTCCCAACGTGTGCGGTGAAAATCAGGGCCGGATTAACCATGTGGCAGATGCGTCATATGCCTCGGGCCTCGCGCTTATGGGGGCCTCACGCTTATGGGGGCCTCACGCTTATGGGGGCCTCACGCTTATGGGGGCCTCTCGCTCTACTGTGCCACACCCATTTTTACGAGAACATGCCCATTTTCTATTGGGACACGCCCATTTTAGGTGCCTCGAGCATTTAGGATCTCTTAAGGCTTGGCAGTTGGCCCCAGGAAAATATGCAATACCCCGTGCATGTTAATTTAATAATCTCCAGTTGCACTGAGCTGTTATATCATTTGATTTGTATGACATTTTTTTAGCTATTTTTAGCCATGTTAATCATTAACGTTTTGTTATGTTTGTTGTTGGATACTGAAAATGTATTTGAAAATGTATATCTACCCATTTAGAAGCTAAAGCAGGCCGGGTGTGTGTGCAATTTTTCAGTATAATACTGTATATTAGTAAATTTATCAAAATTTATGCTATAACTAAATATTACTTTTAATTTTAATCCAAGCCACTCAAATATTTTCACTAACTATGAAAACAATTTGGCGATTATAAATCCCTAATATTTCAAGATGTTTTCAGGGAGTGTCACACCCACACACACACACCCTATAGCAGACCTGCCAATTATATAACCCTTGAGTAGCAGAAATAGTGAGTTGCTATCTAAAAAGTTGTGAGATTGACTGAAAAATCGTGAGACTTTTTTAGGTTTGCTCATTGATTTGACCAGGGTTAACTTTAACAACATTAGAAAATAATCAATGGATATTCAATCTTAGGATAGTATGTGTTATATTTTGTTAATATAACCATAAATGCAAGGCTTAATTATTAAGAATAGGCTGTTTTTTCTTTATGGCTTTAGTAGCTTCCACTGTACAAAAACAAGAAAATTACGAGTAATATTAAGACTAGAGGACAATAATTAAACTTAGCAGGACACGCCTTTTACTTTGTAACACAAACATCACATATACAAAATTCTGGCGTTGTACATTATGCATTATTAATACACTAATAAAGTATGGTGTTTTCTTGGAAGAGTGTGCCTAATTGTAACTATAGATGTACGTTGCGCTTTTCGATGATTTCATAAGTTCCGAAAATTGTGAGATTTGGGGATTTAATCGTGAGATCGTGAGAAAGCATAAAAAATTGTGAGTCTCTCTCACGATTAAATCGTGAGACTTGGCAGAGGTCTGCCTATAGTGACGACAACCCTGGTTTCCCCGGGTTATCATGCTTATGAATGTAACCATGCATGCATGTGATCACTTGAATCTCTTAATTATTAGATTTTTGAGGACCATGCTGCTATGAGATTGATTAAACAACTTGTTGTCAATTGCTGTAATGAAGGATGTAGTTGGCAGGGATGTCTCAGTTCTCTGCTGCAGGTACAGCCTTTCTTGTTTTGGCTTTTATTAATTGTTTCTCATTCTTGTACATAATGAGTTAATATATATACATTAAGCCACTTCATACTTATAAGTCAAAACTTAATATGCAGGCTTTAAAATACATAAGGCAATTATTTCAAATGTAGGGTCATCAGAATAATTGCAACTTTTCGATACGCCGTGGCGATGATCTTGATAAAAAAGTGGAACAATTGGTGCAAACACTAGAAACCCAACTCATGCTGAAAATATCAACTTTGGAAATAAAGGTGACCATTTGTGATCATGCACATAATATTATATATTTTGCAGTTGTGATTTAGTGACTTTCCTTAACATTTGTTTCATTGCTTGTAATTTATATAATTATTAATTCATATAGCATCAACAAGATATTAAAGAACTTAAATTGAAGGTATAAAAATAAGTTTCCACGTGTTGCAATACAGGACTGCCAACCCTGGAAGTTTTCAAATCTGGAGAATTGATATTCCATTGAAATCGATGACGTCACGTCGGAAATGACGTCATTATCGAAAAGCCAACTATGCAGTTGTATATACCTGCTAGTATATAGATATATACACTGGTTTATTGTCAAACTTCATTATCAACACAAATAACTGTTGATTTCAAGTTTCACATATTATGTACTATTTTAATAAAATATCGACATCTTTAATGGCGTCAATACGGGTAAAAAACCCCTGTAAGATGAAGTGTTTACGGAAAATGGCGCCATTCAACCGCTGATTAAAAGCAACGCAGGCAGCAACGAAAGAATTTTATTTTTCCAACAAAACGAAGTTTTAATGTTCAACGCAAATAATTTTTATTGTTAAAACCTTTGACAACGAAGAATCAAATGGCTAGTGCATAAATCGACGTTGGTGATTATCGTAATCCGGGAGAATTAAGATAAAATCTGGAGACTAGGTCCAAAATCTTGAAACTCCCGGATAATCCGGGAGAGTTGGCAGCCCTGGCAATATGACATATAAAAAAATACATGATATCTGCTATGTCTTTTGATTGTTACAGTCAATTTCACGAAACTTTGACCACAAATTTTCCGAACTTCGTTGCGAAGTTCACAAGATTGTTGCGAAATTCAAAAGTTCATAATGAGATTCACAAACCAGTTCGTAAACTACGCATTTGATTGGTTTCTTTTCACGGACCAATCAGGGACTTTGTTTACAAATTGGCTTGTGAATTCCAATATGAGCTTCCGAACTTCGCAACGAACTTGCGAACTTCGCAACGAAGTTCGGAACATTTGTGGTCAAAGTTTCGTGAAATCGACTGTAAAGACATATTAGACACTAAATGCAATGGGTTGTCGTAATATTAATGAAATATGTTTTTAAAATACATACATACATACATACATACAGTACATACATAATCGTACATACATACATACGTATGTACAGTACGTACATACATACTTCGCTCGAAACGTCGAGTTTCTATTCTGCTTATTTTTTAAGGTAGTAATATAACCACTCAGCACAGCATTTTTACATTGGTACTACCTACACTGGTACAGACAGTTTTAGTATATATATTACATACATAATACTTTATTTTGACACACTAGCCTCATCAACATCAGCTGTTTTTCATGAGGGGCGTGTTAACTAACTAATTACACAAATAATATGTACAAATTAAAGTTACATGAAGCATGCATACAAAGACTAACAGGTATATAGACAAAAATATATAAACGAAACAAATAAATACTATTGAGGACAATTAAGTCGGCTTCATCTCGCTGTCAGGGTTTTTTAATTGCACTGTACTCTGTAGCTGACAATTTGTCGATCAGATACACAAATTTTACATTTTTTTCTTTTATTTCTATAATTTATATCAATATAATTATATATACTAGCATGAACAAGACATCAAAGAACTTAAATTGAAGGTAATTTCCACATATGAAGAAGACATCAAAGAACTTGAATTGAAGGTAATTTCCACATATGAAGAAGACATCAAAGAACTTAAATTGAAGGTAATTTCAATGTCGAATAATAAGTTGTAACACATTATTTTTCTATTTTAAGAAAGCTATTCTAAAATTAATTTGTAAAATAATTAAGAATCACTCACAGTATATACCAAACTCACTGTCGGTTTTAGCAAATAGACGCGAGTGTAATTATTCTCTGCCAGCCAATCATCAACTGTCTGCACCTCGCTTCAATACAAGAACTATGAAGAAATCAGTAGCATACAGTTTGAGGCGCAATACACCCTTTCGATAATTACGTCACAACAACACTGTTTTCAACTTAGGACCACCTAAAATGGAAGGATTTCAAGGGTTTTTTTTTCTCATGGGCTATGCAGTATGCACAGAGAAGCAGAACTTCTTCAAAACATGCATGAAAAAGAATTCTTTATTTTGACCAATAAATGTGGAAATAAGCTTTAACACGAAAACGAGGCTCACGTCATGACCTGAAGCTTCGTTCTCGTGTTAATGCTTATTTCCATATTTATAATGATCAAAATCCAAAATTTTTTTCGCGCATGCGTTGAAGAACGATGTTCTGCTTCTCTGAGCATAGCCCATGAGAAAAAAACTTGAAATTCTTTCCATTTAAAATAAGGTGGATGGTCCTAAGTTGAAAACAGTGTAGTTGTGACGTAATTATCGGAAGGGTGTATTCTGTGGAATGCTATCAATCGTGATCAGTGATCACTCTAACTTAGTCCTTGACGACCACAGTGTAAACGTCTTCGTAAATAAGGCGACAAGAACGAACACATTTATAAACTTCACTTTTTAGAATATTAGATTTATAGTAACTTTAATTTAATATACTAAAATAATGTAGTGTATGTCGAGGTGTATGTTAATGTTAGACAGTTTAAGCTTCGCGTTATCACATCAAACGGCAAACGCCAGGCAAAGAAAGATTTTACGGTATATCAGACAATAAAGAGTAAATGAACTTGCTGTCTTAAAACTGAAATACATAATTATTCTTTCGACGCAAGAAAGAAAATATGAAAGGAAAACGTTCAACGAAAATTTTTGCCAAGAAAGTTCGAACCTGCCGTTTGCTGTTCCCGGAAACGTGAAGCTTAAACTCCCTGTTATGTAAGTGCACGACCCCAAGTTATTGTTATTATATGGTACATTATTAATGACGAATTAATTCACCTCATTTTAAGTAGTGATTTATTCGTATGAGATGTGATTTCAAAACCTCCAATGCGGACTAGACTATAGATTTCAAGTCCTCGCATTTTGATCCTGAGTCCGAGGTGATCAAATTGCGTGGATTTGAAATCTTGTCCAGATCTCATAATCAGAATTGAAATAATACATTAACCCATTGAGTGGCAGCGCTCTCCCCCTGACGAGTAAAATCGTCTGGCGTTAGACAGAGTAAAATAATAAAGAATGGCGCATCTGGGCGCATTGCCACTTAAAGGTTAATTATATCCAGTCAATTTCTCTTGTTTTACACCTAGTATACTGGAGTTTATTCATCCAAATATTCCTATTACAGTGCGTCTACAGTAAGTGGGGCCACTTAGAGAACACTAACCAATCACATTGCAGAACAGAAATTGAAAAAATCAACAAACGGCGCATTAGGCAATCAGCTAATATTAGGCCAAAAACAATTTGAACAAATAAACGAATGTCAAACCGTAAAAATAGACTTGTAAAAGTAAACACTGCAGTTAATGGCTTGCTGAATCTTTCTTTTGATTGGACGAGCTTTAGTTTGATTAGATTTTTCTTTTTGTTCTGCAATGCGATTGGTTAGTGTTCTTTAAGTGGCCCCACTTACAGTAGACGCACTCATAAATCATTTCCTCACACTGATAATTGCAGGCTAATAGTAACCACCATTATTATATGGCAAGCATCAGGTGAAATGGCGGACTGTGATTGGTTGAGAAGCACTTTCAGCGGTCCATTATTTCCCCATAATAGACCGGCGGTCATTATGTAGAAACAAACGCATGCATTTTAAAACAAAACAGCAAAACTAATTGAAAATTTGAAAATTATTATTTAATTCGTCATTAATAAGATATCTGCGAATGGTTTTTAGTGGAAAAGAAGGAATACGTTGCCACGTTGGTATTTTTTGTTTTCTATTTATCACTTATTTACTGAGACCGAGGGAAGCAGTGTGTTTTGTGGACCCGAGACCGCCGTCGAGGGGCCACAAAACACACTGCTTTCCCGAGGTCTCAGTAAATAAGTGTTTTGTTATATAGTATATAAGTGTCAAAGTATAATAAACTTAATTTGAAACCAATACTGGATATACGGAACGCCGTAAATGTTTAATAAAAGTTTAAAAAATGAACTTTGGAACTTCGTGGTTGACACGCATGCGTATTGCGCCCATTTTATTATTGACCGGTCAATAAATGTTTGATTGCGAACCGGTTGCCGAACATGACGTTTTGTGGACCGACACGTGACACGGGTTTGACCAATCGGCAAACAGAAAAATTGAACTTTGACACTAACGATATAACAAGACAAAATGTGTAACACGCTACTAGATTAATATGCATTTCAAATCGTGCACTTCTTGTTTGTTTCAAGTATAAATGCCTATAAATGCCATATAATAAACTTTTTATTAACCTTGCTTGCTCGGTATGTACAGAGAGAGAAATATCGGGTACCCAGGGTCTTATCTACAAACCTCGCCCTACGGGCTCGGTCTGTACAAAAAAGACCTCGGTCCGATATTTCTCTTTACAGCGTTCGGTTAATAAGAAGTTATTCATGGTGCACAATAATTATCACTTATTTACTGAGACCGAGGGAAACAGTGTGTTTTGTGACCCGAGACCGTCGATGTTTCCCGAGGCGAAGCCGAGGGAAACATCGACGGTCGAGGGTCCACAAAACACACTGCTTTCCCGAGGTCTCAGTAAATAAGTGTTTTATTATATATCAATAGTCAAAGAAACAACAAATTAAAGAACAAATGAACGTAAATACATGAAATATTTTATTGTTAAAACGTTATATTAAACACTGGCTACACTGCAGTTACTTAAAGCGAAAGCTCTATGGCGAAAGTTTTAATTACGTACTAGGCATGTCCAAAGGTCGCATCTTCACGTGATGGCGCACGTGATTTTTTTTATTATTCGCCGGTCGATAACGTATTATCTCCCTCTCGCGCTGTTGTGAGGGAGACAGCCTAATTTCGTCACTCTCACGTAATATGCTCTCAACCAATAAAACACTAGAAAAATGCGACTTTGACTATTGATATATAATTATCCTAATTATAGTGATTAAACCACCCTTTATTAATAGCGTATGCTTATTAATTGTTTCGACAATGATAACTACTGTATATATATAATCTATAGATGTTTCTTAATTGTCTGTTTGTATACAGCTTCAACAAAGTGAAAATCGTTTGCAGCTACTAGAGGAGAAAGAAAAAGAATTGTGCGAGAAAGAAAAGCAGGCTGCTGTATGTTGTACTTCAATTTTTTGCAATGTTATTTTCTGTTATGATGAACAGGAGCTTACGGCAGAAAGATTTATCTTATGTTATGAAACACGTGCTCAGAGCTAATGCGGCTC